TGCGCACCAGCAATGAGGCTCTCACCGCACTGGTGCTTCTGGCCCACTGCAACTTACCCACGCACTCGTCCGTGTCCACCTCGATGCTGCGCAGGCGTCTCACCTTCCACTTTCGGTGCTGGGCCACAACCTCGGGTGGTTGGTAGTGACAAACTTCTTGTGTCCAACTGTCTCCGGCTCCTCCAGCGACACAGCTGAGCAAGAGGAGTTCGACCAACCAAAGGCGATAGGTTGGGCCCCACCTGAAGCCTGCCGCTTGCGGCAACGAGTCGTGGTGCTATGGCGTGGGTAGCAGAGCGGGCTCAATACGGCCACGCTCCGCTACCATGCGAAGCGAAACGCTTGTTTCACGATTTGGGCCTGAAGTGCGTCAGATGTACACTTCTCGATTTGAGCCTATGCAAGGCTGGCTGACCGATCTAAATGGTCAAACAAATTTTTTTAATATGAAAGTATCATACTAAACATACATTACCGTTTCTGCATCCTTGACGATTTTGTAGTATTCAGGCGTCTGGTCTTTAGGTTGTGTGATTTTACCGTTGCTAATCCATTCCAAGTATTGTTTGCTCTTCTCCTCCCACGAACCTATCGGTCTTCCAATCTGCTTGTTTTCAAGTATTTTCTTCATCCTCTCCTTCTCATCAACATCGTCTTTCTTATTCTCTTCCCTTTTAGGTTCAGTTAGCTTCTCCTCAATGGTCTTCAAAGTCTCCATTATGGTTCTTATGTTCTTAATACATCTGTTCAGTTTGTTGGTCAGTTCCAGCAGTTTATCAGAGTTCTCGTCCATATCACTCATATTTATAGATCTATTTATAAAGTTATTTATTTGCATATATATATATAGTCAAACCCGGACACTAAGCAGTAATTGTTCTGCTTACTGCGTCTGGAAATGGGTGATTTTAACACTAATTGAAAACATGACTATAAGAGCCCCTGGTTAGCAGAAAATAAATCCAGAAAAATGAATGGGAGGACAAAAGGTTGCAGAATCTGCAAAATGGCCTGGTTGTTCTATCTTGTTGTTGTATATACAGTATAATGATGGTGATGTGTGTGTGCGCGCGTGTCTGTTTAATATCTGTTAAAACAAAATATATATAATATAATATGATATATTTCTTTATATGTCTGTCATACTCAAGAGGCACACTATATTCTGTTGCAGTCACGGCCGTGCATGGAAGGAGACAAGTCAAAGAGAAATAGATTTGCACAATGCATGCCGTTGCTGCCAATTTCTTTTTGTTTTGGCCAAATCCCACCTTCAAACAAACCCTAGTAAGCAGAAAGTGTTGACAGATGGACCATACCCCCAGTAGGCATATAAGGCTTGATATCCTCCGTTACTGTGGGTTTGGCTGTGCCCGTTCTGCTTAAGACCAGCCCTGGGACGGTTTCTGCCTACTGAGTGTCCTTGACCATATTTATTTAGATATTTATTTATCAAAATGGTTCCCTTCAAAATCTACCCTTTAAATGGTTTAATTTCACTTATCCACTATACACTTCACGGTCTCAAGTGTTGTCTCGTCCTCCGTTGGTGTAATCTGCTTTCCCCATTTGAAGGTTATATTATGAATGTCTGTTTCAACATTTATGTCTCCGTCCTTGGTCTTGTCAATGGACATACCCTTGTCGCTCTTGCTTAAGTTGAAAGTGAAGGGCACACACCTACACTTACAGTCTCCCTTCCTCGTGATGACGAGTTCGTTTTGAATTTCCAGCATCTTTTTACATACAGGACACTCAAATTTGATGTCGTTGCTTTTCTCTACTATCTCATCTTCCTCTTCAATTGTCTCGGCTTTATTTCAACATCTTTACTTTTCCTTTTCTTTTTCACCATCACTATTGTAAACATAATTAGTCAATATCGTTCGTGCAAAAATATCTAACTATATATGTTTTCTGGGGACGCTTCGACAGAAGTCTCGTGTGTTTCACGACCTTCAAAAGATGAATTCGCACAGCATAGTCATCATCACGTTCTCAAGACTGCGGGGTTTGTCTTTAAAGGAGATGCAAAGAAACCAAACAAATTTGCGCTGCTTCGCTCCTTTTCTGCTTGCTAGTGGGCATCATTGTCAGCCGCTTTTTGCGGCATGCTCCAAGCCAACAAGGGGCCACAAACAAAGGGCTTGGGTGGGAGGGCCGACTTGAGCGGCAGCATCAAAAGTCAGCACTATTGATCTGCTTGCTAGTGGGCATCATTGTCAGCCGCTTTTTGCGGCATGCTCCACTATTTGCCAACTCTGCCGGCTCTCTTGTTGGCCAACATAAAGTACCAGGCCCGCGTGGGCACACCACAAGCCATGAAAAAACAGCATCGCTCCAGCACCAACGTGAAGACAGCTGGCAAGGCTTGGATTTTTGAATTCGTTTCGTGAGGCAAGCTAGCTAGGCTGGTGGCCACCGTGATCTCCTGAGGTAGATCTCCATGGAGGTAGATCTCCATTGTTCGAATTGCAGTCCACCTGCCATGACGGCGGAGGAAATCAGGAGATTCAGTCTGGGCCAACAACCAGGTCGCTCCACCAGCCCGAAGGCTGGCCAACTCAAAACGGCGCTGATCGCCCACTGCCTTCGTACGGAGTCCCAACTCTCCCAAAACACAAGTGAAACGCTTTCGAAGTGTTCCAGCTGACATCGGCCAAAGGGGTGCCTCAGGTAGCTCGTCCTTGAACACACATGAAATTAGCTTCACCCGGTCACTCGGGTCCACACGGGCGGACTGATGCTTAGCCCCCCTTCCTCGAGTCTTCGGAAAGCGGATCTTGATCAAAACATGGTCCACTCCAGGAGCAGCATCGGTCGGCAAAACCACGTCCTGCCGGGTTGCAAAAATTAGCTCACCCACTCGCATGATGCCAGACCATGCCATGCCCCATAGTGCTGCTTCCCTCTTCCAGCCCCAGAGCAGTACTCATCATTGCAAGCAAAACACTGGCTTGATGAGAGTGAGGTTCATCCTGCAACCAAGCAAATGCCAAGTCCCAGGCCTTTGTCATCTGCCGCTTTATCAGCGGCCGGGCAGTGCTGACGGCGTTGATCGTCTCCGAATACTTTTGGAAACTTTTTCCAGCAGCATACATCGCACGGCCGTAGCTAACTAAATAATCACAAATTCTGTCTGGGTCTGCAGGCTTTTCAGTGAGGAGAAGGTCCAGGCTCACTGCCATCTCCTCCCAAAGGGCGGCGCGGTTGTCACGAGTCTCCTTCTTCACTGCACGGTCAGCGCTCAGCAGGCTGCGAGCTCTAGCTCGCTCGCTTTCAGCATGCGAGCCAGGTGGAAGAGGTGCCATGTTAACAAGCACACCTACGGCGCCCGCTCCCATGGGTTTGAGGACACCTTCTACTATTCCCCAAAAAGGCTGCACTGCCGACCTGGAAGCGAGAACTAAAATCCAGAGTCCAATGGGGAGAATTGGAAGGGATCCCACGGAGGCGAGCTTCGCCAGGACAAGTCCACTAAAATCCACGCAAGTCCACAGAAAGTCCATGAAATCCAAAAAGGCCTGAAGTCCTGACGAAGGCGGCAAATCAGAGGATAGGGACTGCACTGCCTCACAAGAAAGGAGGACGAGAAGGAGAGACAACCGAGCCCAACCAGAAGCAGGCCGAGATAGTCCACGATTGTGAAGGGCAGCAACTCTCTCCAAATCACACATTCTCGTCAAAGAGAGTGGCACTGGCTCAGGTAGAGAACGATCTCTTGTTGGGCAGTCCGCTGTGTTCACTTGTAGGAGCAAATCCATAGGCCGGGAAAAGTCCTCCCACAACTTGCAATGCTGCAGCTCGTTTCAGCACGGGCTTCAAAGTCCGGGCACTGCTTCTGCCCTTTGCCAAAGCACACTTTGCCACGCGTGGGTCAAGCAAGACAGCCAACCGCCGACCAGGGAAACTTTGAACAGCCTCCTTGCGCAATGAAACAACTGCACCGACTTCCAGCACGTTGATATGACTTGCAGTCTTCCAGCGCCAGCTTCGCACCTCCTCCCACGGAGAAGACAGGAGCAAATCGTTGGCAATCACGCTCTCAAGCCCCTCAACGCAAGGATCACCTCCATGAACCTCAAGAGCAATCAAAGCATCTCGAAATCTGAGGCAAAATGCAAAGCTACTCCAGGCACATAGACAGCCGAGGGCTTGGTGAACTTCCCCTCAATCCTCACGTGAGGATGATCACGGGTACACCTCACATCAACATTGGCTGCGTCAATGTGATTGAAGAGAAGCCTGCACTCCTTCTGGTGGGGCGATCCAAAGTAGCAAGAGGCAACCACTGTTGAACCTGCTTGGCACGCGGCACATCAAACGGCAAGGCTTTCTGACCAAAAATAGGAGCACTTCTGCCTCCAAAGAAGGATGCTCTGCTGCGCCCAACTAAAGGAGGCGGACATAGTGCATGACCGTCCATTTTGCTATGTTGCTGGACCTTTTTGATTGAAAATACTGCACCACATAATTTGCCGTGGGGCAAGTTTGAAGCTGATCCACGACAACTTGAACAGAACAGGCTGAAAGTATCAAAAAGTCCAATTCCCAACGGTGTCCAAGGCATAGGCTTGTTTAGAATGCGGAGTTTGCCAATTCATCTGAAAATCTGTGCAACCGGACACCCAAATGAAGAAGTCATTGAATTGGATGAAGCAAGCGTGGCGTCCCGAAACATAAAACCCTGTCAACACATCCCTCTCATCTGAACCAAACATTATCCCAACAACCTCAAAACATTTAGCGATAAAACAAAACTTCACATTTAGAATTACAACATTGAACAAAAGCGCAACAAGCCTAAACCATCAGCCACCTCATTGAATAACTAGAAACAGAGTGATTTTTAGTACCAAAATTTCCCCAGCACCCCCCACACATAAAACATCAACAGCAAGGAAACACATTGAACATCAACAAAAGATCATAACAAGCAACACACCAACAAATCCTCCCCAGAACCCCCCTTGTACCATTTTTTCCCCCAAGGCTTCAACCTCGTCTCTCTGCTTCTCCTCTCTCTGCAAGGCCTTGGTGACTCAGCCAACACTCCGTGAAACAAGACAGCAACAGGACCCGACCTTGCCGGCGAGGCGAAACGGGCGAGGGATCTTCTTTCCAAGCCCCGCATGCGTCTTCCGGCACCCTGGAGACCGACGCAGGATGGGCGGTGCACCGGTCGGTGGCACCGGTCGGACGCCGTGGACGATCGACGACCACGCGCCTCCTCCAGGCGATCCACGCGCTGATGCTCGGCCCAGAGTTGTTGCTTCAGACCAGCCTGGCGCTGCTTCGGACGACCGGAGCGCTTCAGACTAGCGCTCGGAGCTGTAGGGGATGAATATTTGGAGCCTTGATAAAGGTTTCAGGCGATCACATAGGTCTGGTGCGCTTTTGTGAGTGCACCGTTTTGAAGGAATGGGTGACTCTTCTACATCTTCTGTCTCTTTTCGGCTTTCTTGATTTCAGGGCTGTCACATAGGGCTGGCAAGCTCAGTGACTGGTAGTGGTGTGGCTTGGCTCTCCGCAACAGCCTACCCGGTGTCCAAAACTATTGAACCATCCCCACGCCGCACGTTCACTCGCAGAAGGATGCCACGCGCTAGCCAGGAGTTTCGCCCTCTGGCTCCGCGCTCCGTTCTTGCCATCCAAGGCTTTGAAAGCTGATGCAGACCACAGCAAGTCGCCCCACGATGTTTTTAGGTTCACGATGTTTTCATGCACAGCAGAAGCACCAGATTTAGGTTTGCGGCTCTGTGCATCACCCTGCAATCGGATCAAATCTTGGACAAATAGGTCGGGTGTCCTTCTTCCGAACCCCGACGAAACCTGCCTCATCCTGCTCCAGCGCCATCACCTTCTGAAAGGCCTGACCAAACATCCTCACTCCTCACATGAGCTCTGACCACCATTGTGGTTCCGAAAAAATATCGATCAGGTCCTATGAGCAACCAACTAGCGCATCAAGCACAGGTTGTTTTGAAAGAACCCCGTTGAATTCCTTTTGGCATTATCAAGGCCAAATAAACTAGCCCCCAACCACAAGTGCAACCCACCTGTTTTTTTACATAGCCCTTTTCTTGCACATGGATGTTGATTTAAAGGGACAGTAGTAGGTTTCCAAATGTCTCTACGTTTGCTTAGTAGAATGCTTTGCTTAGCACAAAATGTGTACGTCGATATCTACGCTCTTTATATGCTTTACTCCCACACCAGGGTAGTCTCCCACACAGGATTGCACCTGCATGCCTTTGGAGAGCCGCCGTGCTAGCTCTTTCCGCAAAGCGCTTTTGGCCTAGTTGGATGGTACCGCTGTAGTCAGGGTTGGCTCCCACCACTTGCTACTAATCCAGGAGCTCTGCGTGTGCGTGTGACAGGGAAAAAGATTACATTCCCTATAGATCCACATACCTTCTGAGAGGGTGATTGGAGACTATTTATGTAGGTTTGGAGGGTCCAATTGCCTTCTGAGAAGGTATGTGGATCCATAGGGACTGTCATCGACCATGAACTCTCACGCCCTCACTCACTCACTCACTCACTCAGTCACTCGCTCACTCTCTCTCTCTCTCGATGGACTGGAGATTCATAGACTACACGTCAGCGAGGATTACCTACCTGAACAAAAAAATCACCGCTTAGAATAAAAAAGCCTCTCAGCTTCGCGTTACTTCGGGTCGGTCACCGTCTTCATGGTGCCATACTCATGGCCGTTCAGATTATCTTCAAGAGGAATGGGAATGAGAAGGTTCCCCTTTTCGGCCCCAGATTCACGGAATGGTCGGCAACCTTTTTACAGTCAAGCAACCCAGATGGGACAGTATCCTCGTAGAAAGATCTCGATGATCCTTACAAGCACTATCCAAATCAACATGATCAATGCTGATTTACTCAACTTCGTCCAGCAGGCTTGTGAAGCGTCCGGTGTTCGTCGTATCCTCGCTTGACCACTTCGTTGGAGTGAGATTCTCCATCTGCTCCTAGCTGAACAAAACAGAACATTCAACGGAACGCATCATCCATGGTCTCTGTCCCAAACCTCTTTCGTCACTCTCTAAGCACCACCCACTCCAAGTCCGGCCGTTGCCTCTGCCTTCTTTGCTTGGCCTCAAGACATGCGCCGTTGCTGTTGATGGAAACAAATCCAATCAAATCCAGGTAACACACGTGAAATGACGAACAACTCCACGCTTTCTTCAGTTTGGTGTGTCTTGGGAGGGCTCCCACTTTCGGCATCCTGCACCTATTTCTGTACATGTACACTTGGGTTTGTACATCCCAGGTGGCAAAGGGTTTTCTCCATCAACAGTAGGAACCACTTGCAGCACCCCACCACTTGCACACGACGATGAAAGCAACCTGCTCCACAAAAATGGACGTGGAAACGCACAAGCCAGCACTGGCCATGAACGTAAAGGAAGTTCTTCCGTTCCATGTTCTTCTCACTCCTTTTGCCTTCGAACAAAACACATTCATTGATTGCAGCTTGCTGGGGGTTCCCTTCCCCTCAGACCTTGATTGTGTATACAGTCTGCAGTATACAGTATACATCCACTGCTCCACACTCAAGCGAACCTCTAAGCTGTTCTTCTGCCGCCAGGTTGGTGCTGGCCTCACGGTCAAAACTGCGAAGCCTTCGTAGCTTGGCATCACCAAACTCTCAATGCTTCCCTCGCTAGCCCGCTTGTTTCCCTCGCTTGTTTTCCCACTTATCTCCCCTCTAGGTGGCTGTCATTCCTTGCCTGCCTCCTCCCTGGGGTGTGTTCAACGCAGTTCCTGGCTTGGTGCCTTATTCCTGCTGCTTTTGCTTGGTAGGCCATGCTGCACCAGGCAAAGGCCACTGCATCAAGGCCGCAGCCCCAGTTGGGTATTGCAAGACGGCTCGCTCCGTTGGTGGCCATGACAGAGCAACGTTCTTGAATCAGGCCCACTTGTTTGCCATGGATGACAATCAGGAGGCATCCCAAACACTGCCCTCCATTAGCAACATTTCTTTCTTCGGCTGGTCCCTTCAAATCAATGCTTTGACAGTGAGCTCCCTTCAGTCTTGCTACGGGATGGGATTTGACTCAGTCACATCCAAAGAATGGAACGCCCTCAGATGTAAGGAAACCACCCTTTGTCACTGGGTGCGTACATGCTGAGTGGTATGATGAGGGTGAGCGCTGATCAATTTTTGAAGACCGGTTGATGTCCAAGCACCAAAGCTACTATCCAGCTGGGTCTGCAGCAGCCTTGACCAAGTGGCCTTTGCCTGGTGCAGCAGGCCTTGGAGAACGCCTTGCTCAACGCAATTGAGGTCATGCGGATGAGCGCTTGAGCTGACACCCAGCCGTTTCGAGCTGAGGCTGCATGACTTTCAAGGGCTTTTGGACTTTTGCTCCAGATGTTCCTTTCGAACAGAGTTAGACATTCCTTATGATGTGTCTGTGCAGGACATAGCCATCTTCTTGTCTCCCCACTTGTCTCCCAACACTGGCAACATCTCTGGCTGTCACCGCATGATGATTCCTTGCTGGTGCCTTCAAGTTGGATTGATTTCAGGGAATGTTCGCTGTTGAAAATTCATTGCAAGGCCCCGACGCCGCAACAGGTTCCAAAGGGAGGGTCATATCTTTGCAAAAGCTGAGAACCCAAACAGCAGAGTTGTTTGGGAACAAAGGCCGAGTAATCTCGATATAGAGCAACCTAAACAGCACATGTCGTTTCAAAGGAACAGAGTGCTCCTGTTAATCCCACAGGGCAATCATGTTGCTTGACTTGACCTTCTTGAAGGTCAATTGGGAAGCACACACCGTTAATCATCATGTGCAACTACACACTCGCGCAAGTTTTCACATGTGGTTTCGGACCCTGGCCCTACCACCCTGAACCACGGAGTGGGCCTCCTTCGGCAGCACCGCCGACTGCGAAGAGAGAAAAAGGTCCCGTCGGTTCAATAGGATGTGTCAATGGCGCAATGGCCCTGGACAGATTCTTCAGATAACCAGGGCCCTAAATCTGAAGCTGTCCAGGGAATGATCTCTGGTGACACCTGTCCTGGGTCGGAGCGATTCATGTTTCGTTTGGAGGGTTGTTTCGAGATCCATGATCCCAGGGCTGCACAACAATCCCAACCATAGTGAACCATCAACGGAGCAAACCATCATTCCAAGAGTTTGTGGAAACAGTTTCAGGTGAAAACCTTTCAGCAGGCCTTTTTTTCCCCGATCTGTCGCAAGATCATCGTTAAACATGGCCATGGTTTCGATTTGGTTCCACCTTTTCCTTTGCCCTCTCTGCCTCTCTCTGCCTCTCAGTTGCAATCTTCGCTAAAGAGTTCCGTGTTTTCGTTTCTTGCAAGCCACATTTACAAGACATTTACCTGGGGGTGTCCTTACAACACCCCCCTGTCGTCGGATGTGATACGCCGTCCCCTTCACCCCCTTCACGCCACCTGAGGAGCACCAATCGCATTCACCCCAAGCCTCGGCTCCGCCATAGGATTGTTTTTTGGCAGAAACTAGACGAGTGGCCCGAGGGCACTGTAGGAGATGACACAAGGTAACGACCATGCTGATGACGACCATGTTGATGATTGTGATATGATGATGCTGATGGTCACAATAGGGCTAAGGCCAAGTAGAAGTGACAGTCTCAAGATATCCAACACTCTTGCCGTTGCATGGAAACTCTTGTGGGACACCTTCGTTGGACATTTTTGTAGACAAACTTGTAGGACACTCATGTGACACTCTTGTGGACACCACTGTGGGGCATTCTTGGGGGGACCCTTATGGGGCACTCTTGTGAGACACTTGTGGGGCACTCTTGTAAGTCATTCTTTATGATGTGAGGACACTGCAGGGCGTTCACCAAGGCAGAAGATTGTTACCACAGCTTCGCACATCTGACACGCACCATCTCGCACAGGGTCGCGTTTAGTAAGCATCGGCCGGGCCACCCCGCCGCCTTAAGAGAAGATTAGGTATCTAACTTGTAGTTGTGTAGGTGGGTCTTGCAGGTGTCCTCACCTGTATCTCAACACCTGTTTCTCAATATCTGTATCTGTATCTATCTAGGTGTGTTATAGCAGCTGCATCACCGGCATCTCTCTGTCTGCACATGTTTGCTGATGATGATGATGATGATGATGCCCTTCGACCAATTGCTTTGCAGACACCTCTCTCGAAGACCATCATGTCCATGTTTGTTCACGAAGCCAAAAAACACACTCTTCGTGCTCTTACATGGTTTCCTCAATTAGCCTATTTGCCTGGGAGAGGCACATGGGAAGCCATCTCACGTGTCCAAGCTCACGCCAGGGCAGTACAAGCACTTCACCACAAATGGCGATATGAGGCTGGCAAAGTACAGGTGCCAGGGGAGAAAAACCCCTGGTCTTTGGTGGATGTCAATTATTTCTTGACATGACGGGCGCCTTTGATGCAATGCCCAGGGAACACCTGCAAGAGGCCTTTGATCTTCTTGGTCTTCCCCAAGATCTCTCAGCTCTACTGTTGAGCTGGCACACAGAAACCTCCTACATTGTTCAATGGAAAGGGCTTTCTGCAGAACAACCCACTCATAGAGGTGTGAGACAAGGCTGTAGAGGCGCACCCTTCTTTTGGGCATGCTCCATAGCACTGGCACTCGATCGTGTGGCGGCGGAAACCTCTATCAACTGGATGAGGGAATGCTGCACCTTTTATGCCGATGACGGGCATGCCTGCTTCATATTTCATGATTTTGCTGAACTTCACTTCGGGTTGGTTTGTTTTGGGAAGCTGATCACCATTTTGGAACAGCTGGGCATGACCGTGAATATGCACAAGTCAGCCGTTGTTGTCCGCTGGGGTGGTACAAAACACCAACAAGCGCGGAAGCTTTACGTGAAAAGGAAGCTGGAACATCAAGCACTCCGCATTCCGAAAGATGATGGAACTTTTCATGAAATTCCAATCAAAGAGAAGCGCGAATATCTTGGTATTCAGATGGGATATTTTAATTTTCAGCGTGACACGATGAAGGCCAGACTTCAAGCAAGCAAACTTCGATTCAAACAAATGCACCGTTGGTTTTCCAAGAACTCTATGCACGCGGCTCAGAAGGTGGCTCTATGGCAAACATGCATTCTTCCCATTGGGATCTATGGACTGGATGCAACCGGAGTTGACAGCACCAGCATTCCAATTTTTTCCAAGGCCATGACCACCATGGTGAGACAAGCAGCAGGAGATCACTCATTTCAGACTCACAAGTCACATCACGCCTTTTTCTGGAGCACCACCTGCAACACCCGGTTGCTGTGCTGCGGGGGCGGATGGCCTCTCAACTTCACCGACACGAGGACAGATTTGTTCACCTTCATGAGATGGATGTTCTTCACACCCTGGACTTGGATTCCCTTCGATGCTCGATCAATCTTGTTGACACATGGCTGCAGGAACTCAGCACATCCGAACCGGGCAATTCTCTTCCACTGGCAGAGGCAGGACTGGAATGTTACACCTGCGGGCTTACGTTTCGGCACTACTACACGCTCAAAAGACATGAAACATTCTCGCATGGAATCATTCACACCACTGGTCCTCCACTGGATATTGGTAGAGACTCTATCGATGGCAGACCAACCTGCAGACATTGTGGAGAACATTTCATTAGCTGGCAGAACTTTCGACATCACATTTCATCGTTCGCCTGTAACAACTTTGATCCATCCAAGGCACCTCCGGACCCGGCTGCTGGAATACTATGATGGAGGAGACCTTGAACCACTTGTACAAGATCGTCCGCTGTGCTATTTTCTCTCTCAGCGCTGCATACTTTGTGGATTCTGGTCCTCGAGGCTTCAGCAAATGTCTGCTCACATGGGGAGAGATCATGGGGACATCTATGCACTCATGGGCGACGTCCTTCCCAATGTGGTGAGAGCTCGTACCTCCTCTCCTTGTGAACTCTGTGAACAAGAATTTAGGAGCAGGACACACACGTGTCCAGTGAAGAAGCAGCTGGGCCTTGCTTTGGCCTATAGGAAGCACCGGGAGAAGTTTCCGACGAGTCCTCCTCCAGTGCCACAACCTCCTCAACGGATGGAAGCCCAATTCACATGTGGACTTTGTCCACGGAAGTTTGTGACAGCAGCAGGGCTTCAACAGCATCAGGCCATGGACCACACCCACTCAACGACAACCAGGACCTTTGTTGCTGGCCGAGATCAGGTACCAGGGCAGACTCAATGTGCACATTGTCAATCCAAGTTTCTGAGTGTGGCTGCTCTACGGCACCACATTGATGGAGGCCACTGCTCAGTTCCACCTGTCGATGATCCGCCTCTCCTGTGGCATCATCCGCTGGTTATCTCCGGACTTCATGGCGGGACCTTTGACCACCTCATGGCCTACAAGTCCCTGATTCGAAGACTTGGTTATATCTGTGGACTTTGTGGACATCAGTCAGGGAGCTCAGTTTCATTGCTGAAACACCTGGGGAACCAGCACAATGAGCACTGGCCTCAAGCAACCACCTATGCGGAATGGCTTCAAACGGACAGTGCATTGCGGAATCTGGGGCGCTCATGCCTCAGGCCACCAACGACAGCACATGTCTGCACAGTCTTCACGCAGCTGGCCCTCTTTGTCCATCATGACTTGACCAGGCTACAAGGAGGCAGTGACGATCTTATCATGTCCTATGCTCTTTGGCTTGATCTTCAAGTTCTGAGCCCCACCATCTCACTCTCCTTTCCTGACCTGGACAGCAAACTTGCCACTGGCCTCTTTGCAGAGCTCATTGAGGATGACACTCTTTGCACAGCCCTTAGCACATGGTGTTGTTTGTGCGGGAGGCAAATTGATCCACGTGACATGCTCCAACACCTGTGGCATCAACATGCCAAACACGCCAACAGGGGCAGTCTGTTTTACAAGTACCTCACCATGTATCAAGTGAAGCAACAAACCTGCTCCATATGCAAGCGTCACCCCACCGCAGCTCAGTGCCCGATACTCCTGCAACTGGCCTCCTTGCTTGCCATCCTTCACCATGGACATTTAAACAGGGCAAGTCTCCGAGATGTGGGGTGCACTGAACCAGTGGGTCAAGATGGAGGTCGACGAGAAGAAGCAGAGTGCCAAGAGGCCCCGATCCACCACGTCGAATGGAGGGAAGAGCCAGGGCAAAGGAAAAGGAAGAAAAGGCCAGGTGAAGAACCAGATCATCAATGGCGAGTCCACACCCAACACAAACAACCTGCTGCAGGTTCTGAGCAGGCTAGTGCTAAGGCGCGAAGACACCCTCCAGTGTCTGGCCACGGAGACGGACTTCTTCGTTTTTTTGAGCGCGGGCCCAGGGTCCGTCCTACCTTGCATGATGACTCAGACAACAACATGGCATCAGACACCTCAAAGCGAGAGGACACATCCTTTGAGGATCCTGGTTCTGAAATCACTGCTGGAAGAACTGGTGAAGAGGACACAGAAACTTCAATCCACGGCCTCCTCAGATCCCTTGATCCAGACATTGCAACGCCTGGGATTCCTGAAGATCGACCTGGAGAACGAGAACACCTACATCTTCCCCAGGATGAAATGGGATCATCAGAAGCAGGCGATGGAAGCCCAAGAGGATGCTCCTCTCACAGTTCAGCAGGCCCTGCACACCCTTGCAAGGATGCTCACTCTCCTGCAACAGGAGGACCTGATCAAACGATTTGGGGCACTTCGTCCGGCCCAACAGATTCAGAAAGTCATGACCACGGACACCGACAAGCCCTCCGCAGTGATTCCATGGCGGGTCACCTTGGCCTTGACCAACACACACTCCACCGAGATGAGGGGGCTATGGCACCAGCTCAGCCACTCCGGGCTTTGGCAACTAATCTTGGGCAGGATGAGACCCGCGACCATGCACAGAACACCTCTGGCTCAACACCTGGGAAAATTGCTTGGGGACCTTTGATCAAGGTTGATCTTGCACCACTGAGGCCACTGACGAATCCGGCATCAGCTTGCTACATGAACTCGGTGGTCACGGGATTGGTGTGGAGTGCTCAATGGGCAGGCGGCTTGAGTGAGGACCACTGGTCCAACTTTCCGAGGGTCTTTGAGACCATTGCAGATGTGTCACCAGAGGGAGAACCACTTCTATTGTGGGCTGATGAGCAATGGACCACCTTTCTTTCCACGTGGCCGGAACCTTTTAGACAACATGATGTCATTGATTTTGCACATCACCTTCTCCAACAGCTGAACCCCAACTTTCTCAGTTGTTGTTGGGAATCCCGGCTGGAACAGGATGGGGAAATCCGTGTGGTGGATCAAAGCGCCCTGGGGTGCCCTTTGCACCTATACATCTGCAGTGAGCAAAAGAATGCACTGCTGCCAACCGACCTGCAAGGATTGATCTCAAACTGGAGCCTGGCGTCCTTTGGTCTCCATGGGTTGACTGAACCTGCAGATGTCACATGCCTTCACATCGATCGCTTCGACTCGAGGGGCAAGAAAAATCGAACCAGACTCAGCTGGGACTCTAAGGTGTGGATGCCTTTCTTCTACAACACCAAGCTTGGCATCGACCACATTCCCTTTGTGGTCACGGCAGTATCCTATCATCTGGGCTCGGAGCCCACATGTGGACACTATTGCACGGCGGTTCTGGAGGGTGGCTTCTGGTGGGTCTTCGACGACGGCCCCAAGCCGGAGAAGTTCGACCGGATCCCAACAGTGGTTCAGGAGAACTGCTGTCTCCTATGGCTCAACTGCATGCCGCATGGGGGTGCAGAACCAGTCTCCAAGCTGACGGAGGAATCACCTATTCTCTCTGAGGAGGAGAAGCTTGAGCACATCATTCATGACCCCTCCATCAATGACGACTGGCACCACAAATGGCTTCAGGCCATTGACGGGCTCGATGCTGACATCCTTGTGGACCACCCGGGTCTATGCCATCGGCTGGTGACGCAAAGCTGGCCTCGTGACATGAATGCACATCTTGAAGTGGCACATCGAGAACTATGGGAAGCATCCCAACCGATGGCCGAGAAGTGTGGAGCTGCCTTCAGCGCGAAAGCTCATCCTACTCGGTGGTGCGCTTGCCAGCCCTACTACACCACTGAGCTGAGTGAGGACCACCCGTGTCCATGCCTTCGCCAATTTGGCATTTTGCACATAGCTCTGCGCCGAAGCCAGCCAGCTCAAGCCAGAACAAATCTGGCTCGCTTGCTTGACATGACCTTCAGCTGAAGGCTGGAGCTGGCTGTCCCTACGGGGACCAGGCGGATCAAAAGGATCCACGCCATCATCACTCGATGAGCGTATGGAAAGAAAAAAGATGATGATGATGATGATGATGATGATGATGATGATGATGATGATGA